AGGGAGGTGGTGTAGGCGAGGTAGGTGGCCTTATAGAGGGAGAACGCGCGAGGGGATCTGGTTTTGTGCCATAAGCGCTCCAGCGCGCGACTGCGTCGTTTGAGGCATTTCATGTGGTCATTTGAATCACTTTTTAGTTGTATAAGCACTGTTTCTGAGAACTGCTGTACATCTGTGTTGCATGGAGTCAACCAACTTCTGGCACCTGTGAACAGGTATTCCAGCCCAGGATGATTGGACTACATTCCACAGTTCTTCTCTATTTCTTGGTTTTACCTCAGCAACTGCATTTTTGATGTCACCCCACAAGTTTTCTATTGGATTAAGATCCGGGATTGGGCTGGCCACTCCATAACGTCAATCTTGTTGGTCTGGAACCAAGATGTTGCACGTTTACTGGTGTGTTTGGGGTCGTTGTCTTGTTGGAACACCCATTTCAAGGGCATTTCTTCTTCAGCATAAGGCAGCATGACCTCTTCAAGTATTCTGATGTATTCAAACTGATCCATGATCCCTGGTATGCGATAAATAGGCCCAACACCATAGTATGAGAAATATCCCCATATCATGATGCTTGCGCAACCATGCTTCACTGTCTTCACAGGGTACTGTGGCTTGAATTCAGTGTTTGTCGTCTGACAAACTGTCTCCGGCCACTAGACCCAAAAAGAACAATCTTACTTTCATCAGTCCACAAAATGTTGCGCCATTTCTCTTTAGGCCAGTCAATGTGCTCTTTGGCAAATTGTAACCTCTTCAGCACGTCTTTTTTTTCAACAGTGGGACTTTGCGGGGGCTTCTTGCAGATAGCTTGGCTTCACATAGGCGTCTTCTAATTGTAACAGTACTCACAGGTAACTTTAGACCTTCTTTGATCTTCCTGGAGCTGATTGTTGGCCGAGTCCTTGCCATTTTGGCTATTCTTCTATCCATTCGAATGGTAGTTTTTCGCTTTTCTTCCACGTCTTTCAGGTTTTGGTTGCCATTTTAAAGCATTTGCGATCATTTTAGCTGAGCAGCCTATCATTTTCTGCACTTCTTTATATGTTTTTCCCCTCTCCTATCAACTTTTTAATCAAGGTACGCTGTTCTTCTGAACAATGTCTGGAACAACGCATTTTCCTCAGAATTTCAGAGAGAAATGCACTGTAACCAGCATGTACAACATTTGCTGCCTTCCTTCCTTAAATAAGGGCAATAATTGCCACCTGTTTTTCAAAGAATGAACGACCTCACTAATAGAACTCCACACTGCTATTATTTTGAACATGCCCCTTTCAATTACATAGAATCAGCAGCATGCATGGCATGACTGTTGGTTCTGTTGGATTTCTATTACTCTACTACACCTGCTAGTAAATTATTTGCCATGTAGAAATATAATTTCTACCAAAAACAATGAATGATCAGGTTAGTGATGTCTGAAGGCTATTATTTTGAATATATATATATATATATATATATATATATAACAGTGGCTAAATGGTTAGCACTTCAGCCTGGCAGTACTAGGGTTGCTGGTTCAAAACCTGACCACGGCACAATCTGCCTTGAGTTTGCATGTTCTCCCTGTGCCTGCGTGGGTTTCCTCCGGGATCTCGGGTTTCCCCCCACACTCCAAAGACATGCTGGTAGGTTAATTGGCCCTAATATGTGTATGTATGAATGTAAGTTAGGGACCTTAGATTGTACGCTCCTTGAGGGTTAGGGACTGATGTGAATGTACAATATATATGTAAAAAGCGCTGCGTAAATTGACGGTGCTATACAAGTACCTGAAATAAATATAAATACATACATACACACATATATATCTCAATGGAGAAATGACCATTGAGATACAGGATATTAGTTGAACTCTAAATTAGCATTCACAACACATTCCTACCTTAATGTTAGTCTGTTCTCATGAACTGCTAAAGCAATTGCAAATATAGTAGAACTGTCATTACTTCTGAAAAGGGGCCAGTTAATTATAGATCTCTGACTGCCATTGTGAATGCACTTGCTGCTCTTGTCAGATCCCCAAGCCTCTGGATTTGACAAATAATTTATGCAGGAAGCAATCACTCTACTTCTTGAAATATAAAGTGATATGAACTGCTAAATCACAACCAATGATTCCAATATAAGCCACTTAGGCATAATTGAGTCTTACACATTCATAGGAGAGCAACGAGTATTATGATCATTTAATAAAATCAGACTTTGCAGTACTACCATTGTAAAGCACGTGGACCCATTCTTTGAATCAGGAAAGCTGTCTTGATAGTTAAAACACGTTTCACTGATCCCTATTGACATAATCCAATCCTGAGGCTATTTACAAGTTGCTGGGAAGACTGCCATGTATACACTTAGGAGATCAGCCTGCTATTATGTCATGCTGATGTACTGGAACATACAAGGGATTTTCTGCACATATTCTGCCCAGATTATAGTGTACCTGTGATTTAAAGTAAGAATTTAATAAAAATAAAAAAAATGTATCTGCTTGCATATTTATGTTTCTGAAAAACAGTAAGGCTTAGTTACTTGCGGTTAGGGCAGAAAAAAAAAACGAATAAAAACTAATAACATTGCGGGTGGGATGGTTTTTAAGTGGTTACGTTTTATTTGTGGTCGGTGCCCCTTTTAGGGAGATTCATCCTATTTGTCCTGTTTATCATGATCATCAAAAGTGAAAGTAAAAGAAAATCACAAATTTTGGGTTTCCCCAGAAAAAGAGGGAAACATTTTCCAATGGGTGACCTCAAGGAATTATCTTAATTTGCAGGGATTTTCTCTCACCTCCTGTTTGGTTATGGAACAGGAAGGGAAGGGACACAGATGGAAAAAAAATAAACTAACAGGGCTTATAACCCTCCATTACACTATGCAAAAAGGAAAACAAAGTTTTGCCTATAGTTCTACTTTTAACTATAATTCTTATAGTCCTGACAAAACCATGTTCAAAGCCATTACACATTCCCTTTACATGGCTAGGAAATGTAATTATGTTTCATTGTAAGCACTTATGCGTTTTAGAATACTGGCCATATTAATACTAAACGATAAACAGCTATAAAAATGATTTGAAGGTTACTTCACTCATCATCAAATCGACAAAACAGAATCAACTTTGACAGAACAAAGGGAAAGATAGCTCTTGTCAAATTGTCTCCCAGGGGAAATTGTTCCTTTGCAATGAAAACAATGCTATATTGATTGAACCAACTATTTATTGGAAATTATTTCTAAAAGATTCAATTTTGTTCACTCAAATGGTCGTTCGAACTACTGTATATGTTCCATGTATAACCAGTAAAGATTGTGAACACGTAGTTTAATTGTGGATAAAAACGGTCTTTATTCTTCTACAATTGTGAAGACAATTAATCACTTCCCTAGTTGGAAGACGTTTGAAGAAGAAGGAAAAAAAAAAAAAATCACAATGAAAGTATTTCTCACATCTTTTATTTCCATTTCAAATCCATGTAAAATATAAAAAACATTCCAGTTACCATTTCATGTTTAAATGTTTTTTCTTTTTCTGGCAGAAAAAAAACAAACAAACCAACACACGTACTTTAAATCTTCTATGAATATAAAACAATTTTATAAAATAAGGTTAAAAAACAAAAAAAAACAGTACTATCAAATCAAAAACAAATGCTCAGTTAGGAAGCTTTCACACTGTCCCTGCAGTGCTTTGGCCACAGCGTGGGTGCAACGTAATGTACCTACAGTTGTTATGCGGGTTTAGCTGAGCTTTCCCTTACAATTCTATTATGACCTGCAGTTCTGGTGTGCTTTCAGAAAATGCCCCAAAACCATGGGACATAATAGAAGTTTATAGTAAAGCGCAGCTAACCTGCAAAATGCAGATACACTGTACTGTGACCAAAATGCAATGGATCAGTTCGGTGTGGAGCTGCCCTTACAGTTAGTAAATTTCACATCTGACAGAGCCACAACAAACAGAAACATAACTGCAGCCTGGTCATGGATATCGTGTTCTATGTACGCAAGTACCCCATTCACGCTTTGTATAGTGACTTGCTGCGGTAAGGCAGCTCATGGTTTTCAATGTTTTGACAGCACAATTATATGTACAAAAAAACTGAATCTTAATTTTTGTTTAAAACGCAGTTACAACATGTGGCAGGTACGCATTAGTGTGATGCACTGCCTGCTACTACTGTATAACTGCAATGAGGTGCCATTTAAGATGAATGGCATCATGGTTCATGCTTTATCATAGGAACACAGGGTAAAGCGTTTTTTACCACACATTACCACAATACATGTGAATAGACCTCATTGACGCTGAATAAGTATTTAGGTCAGAAGTTCTTACTCCGTTGATTGCATGCCTGTCCCAGATCAGTGATTCACAAAGGATAATGATGACAGCCCTGTAGCTTACACTTGTAAAGACAAGTCACCAATGTAGATTCTTTATTTCTTCCCAAATGTGCACAGAAATGCAAAGATTGCACAAAAAATATTTCAAGAATAGTAAATATAAAAAAGTAAAACTTGGGCTCAAATACATTGCTTAATCAGCAAATCCTTGAAGACCTTGGTTTAAGTCATATGGTGAGCAAAAATGTAAGAAGAAAAAGTCCACAAAAGTGGACCGTTTATTGTACTACAAAAAACTTTCAAACTCTTAAAAATGCCAGGAAATGGTAAGGTTATCATTAAAATGCGCATCTTGTTCGGTAAAAATGTAGTACCATAATATTTACAAACACAAAGAAGTTACCATATGCAATTTCTGGACCACAGTTTAGATTGACCAGATTAGATTTACCATAAATTATCAGGCTATACTTGTATATATCAGCTGCAGTCAATGAAGGAACAGTAGATCAGTACAGACACAGCACATATTCAGTTATGAAAGACACTGTGTCTGAGTGAAATCTGGGTTCAAAAGAAGTTGGAATAGGAAGAAGACGGCATTCTATGCATATACAATAGAATTATTTTCTACCTAGTGCAGTATTGTCTACCTACAGAAACATACTGCCGCCACCATGGGAGAATTTCGTATTCAGCTCCTGAGATTTCCGTAACAAAGCTTTCTTTTGAGCCTCATCAAAGCGATTCACTTGCAGATCTTGTTCTCTGTCAAAGGGTCTTCTCTCCTTCGTTTTATCTTTATCTTCTTCAGCTTTCCTCTTCAGCTTTTTCCGGTGAAGATCTAAGAGTGATTCTGATCTTTTTGTATCCTGGCAGGAAAAAAAATAAATATCAGAGTTAATACATAAACTGGAGGTGTTGCCACTCGCAACTAGATAGCGGCTTCCATTGTCAGACCTGCTCTAGATAAAGAACAATGACTTGCTATAGAGCAAATCCCCACTGTTAATTATTTCTGTTCTTAGTAGAGAGATAAATTCATAGCCTTAGGCAGATTTCTGCCCGTTTTTTTTTTTTTTTTTTTTTTTTTTTTTTTAGAGACTGGGTAACATCAGGGGCAATACCACTGTTCTAAAAACTAGAGAGCTCTATGGGCGGAGTACCCAAAGGTTTGGAAAGCACCACATGCAGAGTCCAGTGCCTGAAGGTCACATTCCAGAATCTATTTGTCCTGTCCATGGGCCTCCCTCCCAACAGTCTTTGGGGAATGGAACACACAAGAGTACACAGCCCTGGTCCTGTAAACCACTCTGGGGCCAACAAACCAGTACACTCTGTCTGGGGAGTGCCAATAGCAAACACCAGTCACCCAAGACCACATTAAAGCCAACTTTGCATCCTTCCATGGGGGGTACAGGTACAGCTTTCAGGGCAGTGCCGAGGATTATCGGATTTGGATAGCTGAATATACAGTTGTGACCAAAATTATTCAACCCCCAATGCTGTAAAGGGGTTTAGGGACTATAGTGTACATTTGGAATTGTATTCAGAATCAAATCCTACAAGGACGTTGTAACTACCCAAATGCAACTAAAATGACATCAATTGTTTATGTAATACAGTAGTAAATGGTTCTTATGTGGTTTCTTCATTGCCACAATTATTCAACCCCTTAAAGACTACCACTCTGAAGAACAGAGGTTCATACAGGTGCTTTCCATCAGGTATTGAAAACACCTGTGGATGTCACCGAGCAGCAATCAAGCATAATAAGCACCAATTAGGCAGCTTTAAAATGACTGTGATACTCAGCTCCTTCTAGACATTTACTGGTGTGGTTACAAACATGGTGAAGGCAAGAGAATGGTCCAGGAAGACAAGAGAAGAGGTGATTTCTCTTCACAGGAAGGGCAATGGCTATAAGAAGATTGCAAAGATGTTAAACATACCAAGAGACACCTTAGGAAGCATCATTCGCAAATTCAAGGCAAAGGGCACTGTTGAAACGCTACCTGGTCGTGGCAGAAAGAAGATGCTGACTTCGACTGCTGTGCGCTACCTGAAGCGTAGAGTGGAGAGAAGTCCCCGTGTGACTGCTGAGGAACTGAGAAAAGATTTGTCAGATGTGGGTACAGAAGTTTCAGCCCAGACAATAAGACGCACACTGCGTAATGAAGGCCTCCGTGCCAGAACTCCCAGGCGTACCCCCTTGCTGTCTCCAAAGAATAAGAAGAGTCGACTGCAGTATGCCAAAAGCCATGTGGACAAACCACAAAAGTTGTGGGATAGTGTTCTGTGGACTGATGAAACAAAATTAGAACTGTTTGGGCCCATGGATCAACGCTATGTTTGGAGGAGGAAGAACAAGGCCTATGATGAAAAGAACACCTTGCCTACTGTGAAGCATGGTGGAGGGTCAATCATGCTTTGGGGCTGTTTTGCTTCTGCAGGTACAGGGAAGCTTCAGCGTGTGCAAGGTACCATGAATTCTCTTCAGTACCAGGAGATATTGGATGGAAACGTGATGCAGTCCGTCACACACCTGAGGCTTGGGAGACGTTGGACCTTTCAACAGGACAATGATCCCAAGCATACCTCCAAGTCCACTAGAGCATGGTTGCAGAGGAAAGGCTGGAACATTTTGGAGTGGCCATCGCAGTCACCAGACTTAAATCCGATTGAGAACCTCTGGTGGGACTTAAAGAAAGCAGTTGCAGTGCGCAAGCCTAAGAATGTGACTGAACTGGAGGCCTTTGCCCATGAAGAATGGGCGAAGATACCCGTAGATCGCTGCAAGACACTTGTGTCAAGCTATGCTTCACGTTTAAAAGCTGTTATAACTGTAAAAGGATGCTGTACTAAGTACTAAGATTGAATGTCACTTGGGGGTTGAATAAAACTGATAATGCTGTGAGCACAGAAAAGACATTTGTGGTTATTTCATTATAACTGTTATGTTATATTTGTCTGACCTACAAGTGCCTCTTTAATGTAAATGTAAGCAAGATGACTGAATGATCAAAAGCAATGTCAAACTGGCCAAAACACTCAATTTCAGTGGGGGTTGAATAATTTTGGTCACAACTGTAGATCCCAGCTTAGAAATGTGTGGGTTCAATACTTGACTGAAGAGAAACACATCCATAAAGAATCAGAAATGTTCCTCAAAACAGAAAAAAATACAGATAAGATTCTCCACAGTAGAGTTGAGCAGAAAGCATCCACTTACAAAAAAACCCTTGAGGCATTATAGTTAAGGGTGGGGTTATACAGTTGAGTGGCATAACTTATTTTTTTTTTTTTTTAATAATCCAGTCCTCTAAACAGTATAACCAAGATGACAAAAATAAAAATGATTTTTGACTTCCCTTTAAATTCCATATCTTGAAGTACAATACAGAACACAGGCTGAGTATTTATAGACCCTGGGTTACAGGATGGTTCCTTTGGGTCACTGGACACAGCCCTGGGTGTCCCCCTATAACCCTATCCTGATCAAAGTTCTCAGTTTTGTAGCAAGCAATGAAGAATACTACGGAATAGAAAGGTGGGTGGCCTTTTGTCCTTACTGTACTCCAAGATATGAGATTTTCAAACTTCCTTTAATCTTAATTGCACAAACAGGACATAGGCTGAGTATTCACAGACCCTGGGAAGTCCCCAAGCAATGCAAAAGGAGGGATGACAATGACGAAAATGATCAACTTAACAGAATCCCCATCTGCAAAAATATTGGATGACTACCTAGCAGAACACTGAAAAGATATTAACAGTGGACCAGGTGGTGGCTTTACAAAGCTCAGCAACAGAGGCCTTGTGCCTGAATGACCAGAAAACACCCAATGACTCGGTGGCATGAGCATACAAAAGTGCAGGAGTTTTGTCCTTTAGAGTGTAAGCTCTGGTGAAGAGTTGTCTTATCTGATCATCTAGAGATGGTGGACGTAGAAGCAGGATATTCCTTATGAGGGTATGACAAATAAGAAGTCTATCTTCCTCCAAGAAGCGGTTGCTTTGACGTGGACTCTGATGGCTCTGACTATGTCCAGACAGTGAAGAGCAAATTCCTTTGGGTGATTTGGAACAGGTCACATTAACAGCAGAAATATGTCTTCATTGAGGTGAACGACTGATACCACCTTAGGAAAAAGAAAAAAAATGGTCTTCAGCGTAAGACTACCTTGTCTTTGTGAAGAAAAAGGAATGACTCCTTAGAAGACAGCCACTAACTCCTAACTCAGTGACATGTCTCACAGAGGTGATAGCAGAAGGCCACTTTGCAGGAGAGATCATCAAAGAGGATTTCCTCGATTGGTTCAAAAGATGGCTCGGTAGAGCAGAGAGAACCAGACTGAGGTCCCTAAAAATCAAAGGGTGCTGTAAGGGAGGCCTGATCAAAGATACACCCTGAATAAAGGTTTTCACATAGGGGAGTGAGGCCAGAGGTTTTCTTTAAAAACAATGGACAAGGCTAAAACCTGTCCTTTCAGAGGGCTTAAGGTCAGGTTATTGTCAAGTCCTGATTGTAGCAAAGTCAGAATGCAATGCACAGAGTAATTTCTGGGATTGAATAGCCAGTGTTCACACCAAGTAGATCTTTCTGGAAGTGAATTTCCATGCCATTACATGCCATTAAAGCCAGTGACTGAAAGCAGGATAGAAGAGAGGATCTTAAGACAGCAAGTCTAGCTTGTTGGGAAGAGGCCAGGGCTCATCTTTTAGTCTGAGTATTTCTGTGTACCAGGTTCTTCTGGGCAAGTTTGGTGCAATGAGAATCTATGCAGGTGGCCACATAGCAGAGATGTTGCAGTTGTTAAAATTTCCATGACTTCCGCTTCCTTCAAATTCCCAGAGACATGAGGCACAACCCACTACATCCCGTCAGCTTGACAAAGGAGTGCACTAGGACTGTTATCTCACAGTTCATGCTCAGGACATGCGTCGGTACGATGACTGGTGACATTGCGCACACGCTCGCTCTGCTGTGCGTTCCAAGTCTCGGTACCAGATCTTCTCTATCTTGCCAGCCAAAACTCCTGGCACTGAAAGATGACAGATCATCATCTAGGACTGCACACTATGCTGTTCACTGTGGCAGAATCCCATTGATGGATATTGAAATGCCATTTTTAATCTATCCTCCTGTAAGTTGCTGTCTTTTATGTGCAATAAACAAGGTTTCCTGTTCACACTAAGAGGCACCTTTCACCTCTTTTTTCTTACATGTACCCCTCTGGACTAAGCTTCAATCCAGTGAAAGGCAGCCATAAGTGAACAGGAATCTATCCACCCTGCTGGTTACAGACCTGTCATCAACTGTTTGACAGAATATCCCTTCATCTCTTTACCTCAACCCTATTGGGTCAAGTTTATATGGTATTGTTATATACATGTCATTTGCACATTGATGTTTTCTTGCCTTTCTTTCACGGTTATAGTGCCACCTCCAGATCGAATATAGGTTGCACTTTTTTCTGTTTGATTTTTTAATTTCTACTGTGGAAAAGGAGCTGTCCCTTTCTGTGACATCTTTGAATGTGTCAATTGCCTCACCAAAAAGAAGTACTCCATCAAAGGGGATATGTATGAGGCGTCTTTTACCGGCAGATTCATCTGCCCAGTCTTTGAGCCACAATATTCTGTGGATGTGAATGCATATTACAGCCATACTGGACATTTGTCTTATTACTTGTTCTAGGGTATTCACACAAAAACACAGGGCAAAAGGTAATTTCTCAGTTAAAGTACAGTCCTGGAATACAGGAGTCCTGTTGGTTGTTCATTGCTCTAGTCCAGTTAGCTGTAGTTTGACAGACAGAAATTGCAGCAATGGTTTCTTGCAGAGCTGGACCTGCAAGTTTAGAGAGCA